AAAATATTTTTACATCATGTAACGAGTGGAGAAGTAAGAGTACTTTCTCGAAAACTTTAACTAAAAACATTGAGAAAATTTTTCTACGACATGACTCACGAAGGTCTTTAAATTTCAAATTTTTCCTTTACAACCAAGGTTCCTTAAACCTTGTCGCCGAGCGATTTTTCTTTGAACATTAGGATTAAACGGCGAAATATCAAGATTTCTTTAATTTTTGTTTAACTCTAACGTTCAAAGTTGAATAAAACGATGAAAAAGAAATCACACAGCAAGTTTCAAAACTACAGTCTTCAAGACCACGATGGATTTAGTCGTAAATAAAATTTTTCACTTACACATGTGTGAATTTTTTTTTTCTTTTTTTTTTAGAGAAAATAATACTTCTTCATTTACTAGAAAGAAGATTCTTCACGTTCTGTCTTGAGCATTACAAGTAATTCTCTTGAACCACTTACCAACACAGGCGTTTCCAGCCTCGACTAACTCGTAGTATGGTGGACACTTGCATATGTATTTTCCTTGAGTATTTATGCACGTGCCATACTGACAAGATTGTGGATTCTCGCATTCGTCGATATCTGTACAATTTCCACCCGAGCCGTCCAACTTATAGCCTTCGTTACACTCGCAACGGAACATGCCGAATATGTTCTCGCATCGACCGAATACGCACAGATTGCTAAACATTTCACATTCGTTTATATCCACGCACATCTGCTCGTTATTCTCGTCAGGGTGCATGAAACCCATTTCACATTCGCATCGGAACGATCCAGGATAATTGAGGCAGTGTCCATTTTCGCAAAGTGTATTGTCATTGGCGCATTCGTCAATGTCTTTGCAGGTATAACCATCGCCTCTAAATCCAGCATCACAGACGCACTGCAACAGTTAAAACGTCCTTTTGTAATTTTAATCTTTATATAATATAATTTCATTAAAATATACAACGTAGGATTTTGTTTCGATACGAATTCCAGTTATCAAAAGTCTTAGGACACTTTTATTTTTATCATGGGTTATCATGCGTACATATTTTATAATATAATATTTTACAATAACATGACGATACAATATAGTAATATATGAACAGAGCCTTTTATATTTATTTATGTATTTATTGTAAATACAATAATTTATACTTGTATATTGTACACAATTTACTTTTCATATCGTGTAATTTATATTTCATGCATCGTGCTTATTGCATATAATTTACAATTTATATTTATTGTACTATTTTCTATTACACAAATATAGCACTTGTCCTAAGATTTCTGAGCGGAGGGGTAAAATAAATATAACTCTATTGTATCGCATTTGTAGCACTTTATAGTACCTTGAACGATCCCTCGGTGTTGATGCACTGCGCGTTAGAATCGCATCCTCCATTGTTCGTCAAGCATTCATTGATGTCCCTACATTCAATTCCATTCCCCACGAAACCTTCGTGACACGTGCACTCGTACGAACCTTGCGTATTCTGACACTCGGCGAATTCGCTGCAGGAGTACGCGTTTAAGAGACATTCGTCGTCGTCGGTACATCCCGGGCCTTGATCCGGTTTCACTGAATATCCCTCCTCGCACCGACAGTTGTAAGAACCAATGGTGTTGTAACATTCACCGTAGCCGCAAATGTGTTGCTGCGTGGTGCACTCGTCGACGTCTGAGACGTTAGGTACTTGAGACTTTAAGGGACATTCGCTGGTTTTTCAAGATTTCTTTACACTTACCTATGCAAGAGGCACCATCTTTCCCAGGAATTAAGCCGTCCGTGCACGTGCATATGTAGCCACCAGCCACATTGGTGCATTTTCCTCCGTTGCAGATCCGCGGGTTTTCTTTGCACTCGTCAATGTCCACGCACGATCGACCATCGAGATTCAACGCGAGTCCAGTGCTGTTGAAATGGAAATTGGTCAATTTTTTAATAGAATTGATATTGTGTCAGATGACTACTCTTCGTGAATCACCCAAGATAACAAATTAGATAAATTAGATTGCCTAATTAGATAGAAAAATAAGATTCATGAGGACGCGTCGCCCTTTGCAAAGTATAAATACTTGTCAAAATGTAGAAGTGCAACGAAGGTATTTGGACGAAAGAAACTTGCGTCTTCCTTGGATACTCAATAATATCGCAGAATTCCATTTGTTCCGGATATCTTGATTAATTTTTCGAATTTCAGCTTTCAGAATTTTTAGAATCGACGATGACAATTGCGATTAATTGAATCATTCGACGAACGTTAGAACATTTGAAGGAAGGAACATTCACCTGCACGAACAAGAGAAACTTCCAGCTGTGTTCAGGCATATGTCCTCGCAGCCGCCGTTGTTGGTAGCGCATTCGTTTATATCTTCGCAGTGAGACTTTAGTCCAGTTTGTTGATAACCATCGTCGCATATGCACTGATACGTGCCCATCATGTTCTCGCAGACGCCGTTCGAACAGATCCCGCTGGTTCTCGAACACTCGTCGATATCCTTGCAGGACTGCTTGTCAGGGCCCAGCTCGTGACCAGGTGGGCACTGACATTTGAAGCTGCCCTCGGTGTTGATGCAGGTTCCTCCTCGGCACAATCCTGGTGTCTCCTCGCACTCGTTTATGTCTGAAAGCCATAAGTGTGTTTACAAATCGCAGTGCTGATCAAATCGTACGTACAAAAATTTAACTCGTACGCATCACGTACCCATGCAAATTTTCATTATGTCGCTGCTACGATATCCAGGGTTACAGTCGCATTGAAAATTGCCGGGCGTGTTCCTGCAGGTCCCGTTTCCACACACTCCGTGCATAATCTCGCATTCGTCGATGTCTGTGCAGATAACAAAATTCGAGACATCACACACATCGAGACATCTCGGTGAAATTTTTTCTGGATGGTATACCCACCATTGCACTTAATCCCATGTTCGTCGAGCGCAAAGCCCTGATTACATTTGCAACTGAAACTGCCGACCGTGTTCTTGCATCTTCCGTTCAAGCACATTCCAGGGAACTCGATGCATTCGTTGATATCCTGCCTATCCGTGAAGCCAGTCCCTCTTGGACATAGTTCTTGATGCGCGTGGGTGCCTGGTTTCGGACAAGATTCGCATCTTTCGCTGCCCCATGCACGACCCACGGAACAGCAACAAAGACTCTTCGAAAACTGTCCGTCTATTGGGTTCGCGCATTGTCCGTGTCGATAGTCCAAATAACAAGTCTCTTGTCTCGTGTCTATACACGTGGTGTCTAAGCAGATACGGTTCACTCGTCAGGGATTGAATTTAAAAAAAAGATATGAAAAATGAGGATAATTTTGTTAAATTTTATTAGATAATTTAAATGAGGGATTTGTCTTGCTCTGTCTTTTGAAATTAATATTGCGTACTACTAGAAACATTTCAATTTGCTTAAGAGTTATATTTTCTTCCAAACAGAAGTGTAAGAATATTTTTGGTAAAAACTTTGCTCTTCGACAACTCACGTGTTGCATCCAATGTTAAGCCAGGCGGGCACTCGCAACGATACGATCCGTCAGTGTTCACGCACGTGCCCCCACCTTTGCAGATACCGCTGTTCAATTCGCATTCGTTCACATCCACGCAGTCCTTCCCGCCGAATTTCGCGTAACCCTTGGAGCATTCGCACACCGAATGGTCGCAGAGTTCGCAAGGACTTCCCCAGGCTACACCCACCGAACAACAGCACTCTGATTTCAGTGCTAATCTGGGCAAGTTGTACTCGCATCGGCCGTCTATCATCTTGGTCCAGCAGAAAGCTCTCCTATTGTCTGGGGACATAATTTCAATCATATTTTCATTTTCCTGTTCCATGAAAAATTTAATCGAAATTTATTTGAGAAGAAATATAGTGACAGATAGATTTGACTAGCAATGAGAAGTATTTTTTTCAGATTCATTACAACGCCTATATTCAATGTCAAATATTTATATTTAATACCTGTTATATTATTGTACGCGAAAATATTTTATTGGAATTATTATTATAGAAAATTCATTATAAAATTTTTCAACATTCCAATGTGGTTATTTAATTATTGGAATATTATTAGCAGCAATCAAAAACGAATGTTTCTTTGTATAAACTGAATACTAATTCCTTCCCCTTTTGACTTATTTATGCTTATTCAGTGAAAATGATAACCGAGTTCTGTTCGTGATGAACGGCGCGTTAATATTCATGTTCTAAGCACTCTCAATAATTATTCCCAGTCTTCATCGAATGTCCATTTTTCTTTGAATTTTGTCGAATATAAAATATTCCTTGTTTCAATCTCGCCCCATTAACTGAGTAAATTAAATTGAATTTAAAATTATTATAAATATACAAAAACTATGAAATTAAAAATTACGCTATATAAATCATAATTTCAGCGTACTTAAAATTGTCTTCGTATATTTGCATATCTCCAATTCCGATGGATTCCTACTTTAGCAGCTTTTCCCAATTTTGGCTATTTCGTACACTCTCTCTTTCTTTTCGTTTTATTTCAGATAGTTCCGTACGTTCTTCCGACCTTCCACATCGAGGAATACGACATCTAGCATTTCTCTTTGTTTGTATTTTATTAAGAAACACAGAGCATTAAAAACCAAAATTGGGAAGATCCGTTAAACTGGAAATTTATTCGAATTTCTGTGTTTCCAGTTGTTTCTGTATATTAAATATTATATCATACCCATGCAAATGTGTCCAGTGTGATCGAGAATGTAACCAGGAGAGCATTCGCACTCATAGGCGCCCGGAGTGTTCACACATATACCGTTCAAGCAGACATCTGGCCCAAGTTCCTCGCACTCGTCGATGTCCTCGCACATGTGGTTGCCCGTGTTGAACCGCGTGCCACTCGGGCAAATACACTGTTCGAGTATCATGCTTAAATGTCTCAGTTATTCCGACGAATTGTTACATCTGAACGAGAGTCGTCTTAACGCACGAACGTTCGCTTACCTGAAAGCTACCAGGTATGTTACGACACTGACCACCGCTGCACAACGAATCCTCCAATTCGCATTCATTTATGTCGCTGCAAATTTTTCCTGTGGCGTCCACTTCGTAACCGCTGTCGCAGATGCAACGATAGGTCCCCATAAGATTTTCGCAGCCGCCGTTTATACAGATATTCGGATTCTGCGCGCACTCGTTGATGTCTGCTCAAATAGATCAATTACAGTTGAATTATTGTTATCAACAGGATGCGGGTTTTGCGTATTTTAAAATTCTTATAAACAGCACTGAAGAAAACTTGTTTTATCTACTATGTGTGTGTATTTTGATATAAAAAAAATTCATCTACTACATGTGTATTATAATATAAAAAAATTTGTTTCATCTACAAATATACTTTGTTTTGGATGGAGTATATTATAATACACATACGGTAGATAAAATACATTTTTTTTTATAATACACATATAATAGAGTTAGCAAATTTTATACAAGTATTTTCATATATTATGTGCATTGGGTGTACTTTTGCAACTCCAAATTTTCCATGAATCCTAGTTATCAATTTCGGGAATAAGAGTTGCAAGAAATAGAAGTCGCTATTGTTATAACTATATTGCGAATATTTAAGTAGCTGTTTTGCTTCTATAGATATAAAGGAATGGAGTACAGAAATTTATCTCTTCTGCTAAATATTACAATCGCTACTTTGCTTTGCTACAAAAGTAGATTTACGACGCCTTTCCCCCTTGTTAGTTATTACTAATTTCTAAAACTTCTGAAATCCTTCACCATTTTAAAGGCATTCTCAATCTTCTGGATATTGTAATTCGCAGTTTCTAAATTTTTCTTTAATTTTTTGTGTCGTTAATTTCCATCGTTCAGTTACCATCTCCGTTGTAAGTCATTCCTGCGCCATGTGGGCACAACGCGTCGAATTCGCTGGTATTCGGAAGCGGACAGGGTTGGCACGTGCTACCCCAGCCCATGGGTTGTCCCAGTATTACTGTGCAACAGCAACAGCTTGACTTTGTCACTGCTGTCGACGTAGGGTTTGAACATTGTCCGTCTCTGTATTGGGAATAGCACAGATCTCTCCTCGTATCTGACGATAATTAGAATATCTTTGAATGAATAAATCATATTCTTCCCGCCAAAGACTAAAAGCAAGATCGGAAGACAAGGTTGAAACCAACCTAAGCAAGATCTTCCATCCGGTCCCAGATTAAATCCAGGATGGCATTCACATCGGAAACTACCGGGGGTGTTGACGCAGCGGCCATTTTGGCATGGTCCACTTAAGCACTCGTCGATATCTGATGAACGATAAAATATCTTTACTCTCCCAAAAATTTCAAATTATTCGATGAAGTTTCAATAACAAAGACGTGAGAAAATGCACCGATGCAGTGGCTCTGATCTGGGCCAATCCGGAAGCCAGAATCGCAGACGCATTTGAACGACCCCTCCATGTTCACGCATTTCCCATTCTCGCACATTCCGCTTGTGGAACACTCGTCCATGTCCACGCAGAACGTGTTGTCGCGCGAGGCAGTGAAGCCAGATTGGCAAATGCAATGATACGATCCTGGCGTATTTTCGCATCGACCGTTCAAACAGATTCTCGGATTGTCAGCACATTCGTTGATATCTGTAAATGTACGGCCGGTCGATTAATCACGTTACAAATTAATTATCAATCGTTAATTTCCCATAGTGAAGGAAAGACTTGCAAGTTTACCGATGCAAGTGTTTTGCGTAGGAGACAAAGCGTAACCGTCGTTGCACTTGCACTTGAAGGATCCATTCATGTTGATGCAGTGCCCGTTATTGCACATTCCGGTGTCCTGACATTCATCGTGATCTGTAGAAAAAAGGAATGAAGCAAAACTTCATTCGATTCAATATTCTACCTAAGTTCGAAAACTTTTGTAACAAGTAAATGTACATGTCTATTTGTTCAAGAATTCAATTTGGTATTTTATACAACAAGAAATTTGCAAAGTTTGCACACTTTAAAATTTTCGTCACATATTAAAAATGGACTAAGACTCTCTGGAGTTGAAGGTTGTACATGTTACAAATAATTTTCTAATTATATCTTTCTCCTCATTTTTTCGTGTATCTCTTTTAAATTTCTCACCCGTGCAGTATCTGCCTTCACCGGCAACCACGAATCCCGGCGGACACTGGCACGTGTAGCTTCCCTCGTAATTCTGGCAGGTTCCGCCTTCGCAGTATCCCAACAGGCATTCGTCGATGTCCTCGCACCTGCCGGCCTTCTTCGTGAAGCCGGAGTAACAGTCGCACTCGTATCCGTCCCTCGTGTCTATGCACTTGCCGTTTCCGCAAATGTCCGGCCTTAGCGCGCACTCGTTTATCACGGTGATCGGCTGCAGTTGTAGCAAGCAAAGTCTGTTGTAATCGTCTATAATTGAGTAATAACACGAATCCCGTTACTCGCTGTTCCAAACGAACGTTTTACTATTTTGTCGCGAGCCTGTTATTTTTCGTATCGTTTAGCAGCATTCTACGTACCGCTTCCGGGATTCGGACAGATGTAGCACTCGTCACCCCAACCGCGTCCCATGTTCTTGCCGCAGCAACAATCCTTTTTGCTCAGTCTTACCGCCAGCCGATTCTTGCACTGCCCGTTTCTGTTCACCGACGTGTAACACAGACCTTGTCTTCCATCTATGGTTTTTTTTTTTTTTTGTAATGGTGAAATTTCTTCGTTAGCTTGAATGTTCTTTTTTTTTTATTTTATTGTTTGTTTTAGTACCAATTCCTCGTATATTTTGCGAATTAAGGTGTTATTCTTGTTCAAATAAATTATATTTTTTTGATGATTGGATAGGCAAGTGGTTTGTAAAATGATTGTAGTTCTCACCAATACAAAATTTTCGGTCTTGGCTCTGGATAAATCCCGGGTTACAAAGGCAGTAATAGCCACCGTTTGTATTTATGCATCGTCCATCTACGCAGATTCCTTCCTCCTGGCATTCGTCCCTATCCTTGCAAGCGTTCGTCTCAGGATCTCTGGCTTGACCGTCGGGGCACTCGCAGGTAAACGAGCCTGGTGTGTTCACGCACTTCCCACCCTCGCATAAGCCTGGTATCGCTTCGCACTCGTTGATATCTGACCGACAATAATACACAATTAAACTCCTTAAGTTAAATTCCTTAAATATTTGGCAATCTATTACAATGTTGCAATCAGTAGATAAATTTATGTTTACTCAATTATAATATAATTGTATTATATAAATAAATAAATAAATAAAATGAGCCGTTCATTTCGAAAGTGGTCCCAAGTTCATTTATTTTTAAATCAAGGTATTTATGTAAATATTGGTAACTGATAATCTTTTTGTTTCTAAGAGTGTATAATTTACCAACCCAAGTGTGAGAAACATTATTTAGAAGTTAACACGTTTTTGATGGCTATAAATGGACTTAAGCCACTTTTTATTATTATTAAAATTAATGAAATAACTTCTTTTTAATTTTTAAAAAGGCATCACTTGAAAAAAATAAAAAATGTACACAATTTTGTGTTATAAAATTAAAAAAATATCCAACTTCCTTAATAGTGAATCATTATTTAAAAAAATCACTATCTGAGATAATCGAACACTACTACTTTGATAATCAAAAGTATAGCTCCTGTCTCATAAAATTTTACTGTATAATATATTTCACATCATTAACCCTTAAAATGGAACTTAAGCCATTTTCAAAATTAAAATTTTTATCATTCTATTAACCAACTAATTTTTTGTGTATAAAATCTAAATGATTATAAATCTAAATATTAGTTACAATTTGTTTAAAAATGAAAAGATAACGTAGTCGAAATGTAAATATTAAAACAGCTAGCTTCATTTTTTTTTTCTTGGAAAATGGACTTGGGCCACTTTCAAAATAAAAAAAGTAAGGTACTTGTTACAATAAATGTATCCTGCTTTCACTTTCACTTATTTTATGGAAACATGAGTTTGGATAAATGGCGATCACTTACCAACACACTGCCCTTGATTAGTCTTCAAGTGACCCAGCTCGCAGTCCAGTCTAGCGGGACATCTCTCACAAGGATGGCCCCAGCCCTTACCTACGGTAGCACAGCACAACTGTCGCGTGCAAACGACACCTTGAAGATTTGCCAAACACTGTCCATTTTTCACCTTCGTGTAACACGGTCCAGTTCTGAACAGAGAGAGAAGAAAGAAGGAACATTGACAAAATTACTCCCCTCGGACTACTCGAGGAGGACCTTGTGTAATTACCTATAATCTGTTTCACATCGTCTGCCAGTGTAACCATAGATGCACGCACAACGATCTGCACCGATGCATCTTCCTTGGTTCAAGCATGGCTCTCGACAAATTGCTATTTTAAATGGACGATTAACTCACGAATTGTGTTCAATGTATCATTGTTCTAAGAAATTAGGCGAGATGATAGATTTTCGTGACTCACGTTCGTTACAAAATTCACCCTGGTATCCACTACGACACTGACACTTGCCATCCACACAGTTGCCATTTATGCAATGCGCTCTGCATCTTCCAGACTCGCTCCTATCTACCGCATTGCCAGTTTCGTACGTAGTAACTGCGAGAACAGATTATTATGTTTTTTCGAGAATTTATGTTTGAAGAAGTTATAGCAACAACCGAGAAACAAATTAAAATCATTTTCTCTCAAACGTGGTAATATTTGTTCATCAATATTTTCTTTCTTTTAATGTATAAATTCTTTATTGTGTGATATCTTTATTGTGTGAATTCTTCTAATGTATAAATATATTTCTTCGTTGTGTCGCAAACACTTCAATTTCTTCAAAAAATTAGTGAAAAATATTCGTTCACCTTTGGTTTGACTGTTGCTACAAGATGATGCTACCGTGCCACCCTCGCATAAGCAAATATTCGGCCTGATACATCTGCCCAACGGGCCGCATCGTTTAATACATATAGCTAGAAAAAAATATCGAATATTTCTCTTACATTCCTCATCTCATAAATCAGACATTATTTTACTAGCAAGCTCTTCACTTCAGTCAAGACACTCTAAAGTTCTAAAATTTCTCAATCGTTCAAAGACGAATTCTCCCAAAAGTTTATATAACACTTCACACCTCCGAAAAGTTTCACTCCGAGAAGTCCTCAAAGTCCCCAAATTCTACAAATTTTTTCATTTGCTTCTGCTCTTCGCAGATTTCGTTTCAAGGTAGAAAGCGTATTTGAAATTTGAATTCGAGATCGGCATCGCGACCAACGATCGGCGCGCAACCACGCTAGCTCTAGTGGAAGCATCGTACGTGGAGACAATGCGATCAACAGGAAGCGTGTAACAGGCCATTAAAGTAATTTTGTTGGAGAAGTCGATCGGACGTGTCGCATGAACACCCATTTGCTGGTTGCGCAATGGATGCAATTATTCGTCGCGAACGCGCGCGCGCGCGCGCTTCTCGATGATCGCGATGCTCCTTTCAGCTCGGCCGTTTCGATAATGAACGCTAAAATTGAATGTACTCGAGCTCACGTGAGATCACGTTCCAATTACGGGATCGGTATAATGATCGAGCCTCGATTCGAGATATACGGGCCATAGTTTTCTGTACTTACGAATTACGCAGAGGCCGGTCTCGGGCTTCTTCGACCAACCGGGGCAACAGTAATTCTTGTATTTTGATCTGCACACGTTCGGCCTGGAAAAATTAAGACGAACGTGAGCGTAATCGTCGGTGAAAGCTGGCTGGTAATAGCTCTCGGGAAAATTCTGTGGACTATGAGCAACTTTCGACGAAACGCGATTACTCTAGATTTTTACATATTAATTTATACGATGTATACGTTATGATAAATGTCATCATATCTATGTCGTAGACACTTGTTACGTATTAATTTACGATCTATACGTTGTGATAAATGTCACTGACGTAACAGCGGTTTCGTAATGCTTTAGGGATGATGATGCTGATTTAATAATTTTACATTTCCAACAGCAGCATAGAACGCTTATATATTTCATTATTGCGAAATCATGACGATACACCGCTCTTTTTTTTTTTTGCGTCAGTTTTTACGAGACAATATATCTATCGCTATTAATGAAAAGTTTGAGATTATATTGCGTGTTCCATGGAACTTGAGAATATTCAGAGTTAGTTAAAAATTTCGTCGTCTTGGTCAGAAAGATTTCTATAGATATAGGAAAGAAGATCTATTGATATTTCATAAATTTCGAATGAACGAAAAAAGTAATAGAAGAGGTATAGATACAAAAATGTACGAAATAATTTTGCTTTGTGAATTGATATCGATCCTCACTCACAATCAGTGATTCATTGAAACCTCTGATAAATGGATGGAACATCTCTCCAAAGGTGAACTAGAATCAAAGACACTTGTTTTCCCTTTCCACCTTTAAAGTCGCAAAGTAACCTGCAGAATCGTCGACGAATCCATTGCCCTAGACGCGTTTGAACAATCGATCTCATAGTTGCCTGGGAAAGGACTTCGAACCTCTTTCAACCCCTTCTTCTTGTTTCTTTGCGCCACGTCTCGAAATTATCTCATGATCGAAGCTGTCGTCACGATCTTATAAAACCGCGAAACGGCTGGTCTATGAAAGAGAGAGAGAAGGAAAGGAAAAAAAGGGGGTCGTGTTTACAGGCGTGTAAATACGCCGACGCGAAGTGAGCCGCGGCGCCGAGGCGCGTAAGTGGAGGTACTCAGAGGCTGCCTATAGCAGCTGACGTTAATTACAGGCGGCTCGATGTGAATGGCCGCCTTGTTCCGAGGTGGCACACCGCGTTCTCTTTCCATTCTTTCTTTCTCGGTGGCGTTGCTTGCCAGGCGAACGCGTGCCACGACAACGTGTTCACCGGGGATCGTTCCTTCGTCAGCTCGCTCGCGCGCTCTTCCCGTGAAAAAATTCCGTTTCCGCCTTCTGATAGCGTCGCACGACCTCGTTTCCACTTGCTTTATCGCCGGAATCGTAGATATCCAGGCGAAACGTTCGCTTTTTGCACAACCTCGGCCGGAACTCTTTTATTAGATACTTTGTGCTTGCGAAAGCCACTGGAAACTGGAGTGGTAATTTTGATTCGACTTCAGTTATTGCGCGTAACAATTTTTCTATCTCGACGGTCTGCTACATCACTATATTGATATTTATTTCTGCTACTTTGTTTTTCAAATGAATGCAGCAGTGTCTGTTGGTAACGATGAGATTATCTGTATTTTTCGCTTAAAAATTTTCGGCTCTTTTTGTTTTTAAAAGAATTCTGCTCGAATTTATATATTTCTTTGTGTTCTCACAATATAACATAAAAAAATATCTGTTCTCTTGGGATTTTTATAGAGACAAGTGTTACACTTA